CTTATGAAGCGGAGTACTGTTGCTAGTTACTATAATAACAAAAACCAAAAAAGCAAGAACAAAACCAAGCAGCATTTTATTTCTTATTTTAAAGAACACAAACTCCTTACACTTCGAAATGTATATTCTTTGAAGTCCCCCCCCCTCCGTGAGTTGAAGATGAAACCTTACAATTTGTGATTCATTTTGCCTTCCTCAAGATGGGGGCGTACTTATAAAGAAGTGCCATCTGGTAGAAATCATATTTGAAGTGACTCTGTGTAGGAAATTTATCCTTTGGAATGAAAATACAAGTGAGTTGATGATGCCGTATTGCTCTGTAGCTGACATTTCTTCTTCCTGTGACAATTGTATGTAATGAATGGATTGAGAAAAATATTACACTCATCCCTCCACATTCATTGGGGTTAGGGGCACAGGATCCCCATGAATGTGAAAAAAAATGCAAATAGCAAAAACACTATGTTTTTACCTGAGAGAACACCTCTCTAGGAGTCTCTAGGTCCCCCAGTGCAACTCTGGGTCAACAATTCCCAGACATTGACCACAGAATTGCACTAGAGGAACTACAAATGCCTAGAGAAGTGTTCTCTTTAGGAATCTCTAGATCCTTCAGTGTGACCTTTGGTTAAATTTGACTCTAGAGTTTGCGCTGGAGGACCTAGATATTTCTAGAGAGAACATCCATGAATAAAATCCATGAATAATCAAATCCGCAAAAGTCAAAGCCACAAATGTGGAGGGACGGGTGTACTGTAAATCACAAGTCAAATCTCAACAAGATGCAACTTTAAAACTACAGGTCAGTTTCAGCTGAACAGGGCTTTTAAACAGACTTAGTATTAACTGGTGTGTATTTGTGTGTGCAACTTATTCAAAATGTGGTGCTGGAGAAGGGAGCTTAGGATACTGTAGATAGCCAAAAGATGGATCTTGGAACAGATCAAGCCAGATATCTTCTTAGAAGCCAAGATGACAAGGTTGACATACTTTGGCCATATAATGAGAAGGCATCGATCAGTGGAAAAAACAATGACGCTAGGAAAGGTGGAAGTGAAAAGGAGAGGAAGATCAGAATGCCAGAATGATGGACTCATTCAGGGGCCACAGGCATGAGCTTGGAGGAAATGAGTAGAGAAGTGGGAGATAGGGCTTCTTGGAGGTGTCTTATCCACAGGGTTGCCAGTTTAGGTCGACTTGAGGTCAGATAACAACAACAAAAAAAGTGTGTGTACAAGCTAGGATGTGTAGTGGTTTGAGCACTGAACTAGGACTCTGGAGATCAGGGTTCAATTCCCTGCTCGGCTATGGAAACCCATTGGGTGACCTTGGGTGAATTGCACTCTCTCAGCCCCAGAAGACCCTGTGATAGGGTCACCTTAGGGTCACCATAAATCAGAAATGACTTGAAGGCACACAACAACATGTGTGTATATGTATGTACAGACTGAGTAACACAAAAAAAACTTACAAGTCCCCGATCTTGATTTCCCCCCACACCACACTATTTTCACTAAATGGAGCACATTGATACCCCGTCATAGGTTGTAAGTGGAATTGCTATATTCAACCAGTTTTCTGAACCTACAAGGCAGAGGGGTTGGCACTGCAAGGTACCTGTTGTGGCCCATGCTCTAGTAAGGGCTCTACTGTTGATCTCTTTCAGATCTGCTTTCAGATCTGCTTATCTTAGCTGTTGTTCTCTATTCACCTACTCTGTCCAAGCCATGAAAGCTATGCGAAGAGCAAGGATGAGGAACAACACTTTCCACTTGTCCTTTCTTCCTCTTAAGACACTGCTCTGGGATTGGGCCCAGAGAGATTGCACTGTACAAGCAAATAGCAATAGTATTTACATTTTTATACCACTTAATAGTGAACTCAGCAATCTCCAAGAAGTTTATAATTTGTAAGCCAATTGCTCCCAACCAGCTGGGTACTCATTTTACTGTCCTACAAAAGGATGGAAGGCCGAGTCAACCCTGGAGTCCTGGGATCAAATTCACAACGTTGTGGCTGCAGTACTGGCATAAACCACTGCATCACCAGGGTAAAGAAGTTGTGGTGACAATGGTAAGGAGGTCAGACTACTTGGAATATCTCCCTCAAGAGCCCCACGAAACCTGGAACCTGTACTGTTCTAAGAACATGCATAAAGTTAAGTTACTTGACGATTAAGGAACAGAAGAATGATGTGAACAAATGATAACTTCTGTTGTCAAATGTATCAGTACAGTTCTGTTGGAACATGGGAATCACTCCTCCCTACCCAGAGTTTCACAGTATATCTATATCTATATATACCCACTCTCTTCCATTCCAGTATTCTCTGAAGATGCCAGCCACAGATACTGGCGAAACGTCAGAAAGAAACTCTTCTAGAACATGGCCACACAGCCTGAAAAATGCACAAAAACTATGGATGCCGGCCATGAAAACCTTCAACTTGACACAGTTCTGTTTGTTAACTATATTCTGCTTGTTAACTATCAATTACTGTTTGGACTTTTTTTTCACTACCAATAACTCATTGGTTTATAAAAGATGGTGGAACATAACAAGGACATCATTTTACATAGATTACTTTCAGTACAGAGAGGTTGGGCCAATATAAAAGAAAATGGATATACTCATGAAGACTTTATTAATACCAATTGTTGACAATACATGACAGTGCAGATCTCTTTCAGCTTTGTATATTCTCCTTTTCTTTCCTTTCAAGATCTACCATGAAAGCAACATCAATGTACTTTGTAGCCAGTGTTATTACTATTTTTGTTCTACTCTTCATGTAAATTTTTATTTTTTAAAAAAATCAGTTTTTTTTCCAAAGCCTAGTTGGACCACACACCAGAAATGTTTTATTTTTTCCTAAGTAAAGTTTCCTTTAGGCTTCCCTTTTTTTTAAAAAAATATAAAGGAAATAAAACAATATTGTAAAAAGGGCAATGGTAAGAGATGTTAGCTGGGGTGGTCTGACTGTTTGCTGCAGCTGTGGTTATCCTTTTCTTCAGGGGACTATGCTCCTCCAAAGCAGGGATGAGCCATTTTGGCAGGTCTGGGATTCCATTTTCTTTCCTAGGGATCCATCTCCTGCTGCAGTCCACCATCCCACAAAAAAGTGTAGTGACTGCAAATTCATTTCTAGTTTCTAAAAAATAAAAAAAAATCTTAATTTTAATTAAAATAAGATGGAACAAGATGCAACTAATTGTTTTAATGTTGAATCATGTTTTCAAAAGGCTCCTAGCAGCACGACTATCCTGTTTGAATGCTTGGAGGGTTTTTTCCTGGCAGAAGACGCTCCAAAAATGGGCATATATCTTGCAGCCACATATTGCCCATCTTTGAAGTAAGATCCTTATTTCAAGTTTCAGGTGTGTAGTTTGAGTGTGCTGTTAGATCCATTGTTGTTACCTGAATCACAGGTGATTTGCAGCACCTTTCACTAACTTAAGAGTTATCCCAAGGGGGACAACTGGAAGTATAAACAGTGATTAACATGTGATAATCCCGCAATTGCGCTAATGGTTTTCACATGACGTTGAGATGAAATCTGATTAAAGTGCCATTATCCCATGAATAATCAGGCAAGAAACAGCAGGAAATAATTCACAGGATTTCCCCATGAATGAGTTTTTGCTGTTTATTCTCTGGTTATTCCCTGTTTATTCATGGGATAATGGCTCTTGTGTTAATCTCATTTTAATCACGTTTTAATGCCAATTGCCTGATTTTCACAGCTTAATTACTGTTTAAACTTCTAATTTTCTCCTGTGTGATAAACTCCTTAGACTGATCAAACAAGAACAGGGCTGTGTGACAAGTTATTCATGTTGAGATAATCTTCCCTTTTAAAATGACTGCACTGCTGGTTTTGAAAATGATCTGGATACTTCAGATCATCATACATCTGAAATAACCAGCATACCCCCAAAAAGTATGCTATACCATACTAAATTTGTTAATCTTTAAGATGCCACAAATCACTATCGTACTACACTGCAATTGCCCTATTATTCCACTTTAACTGCTATGGCTGCCTCTTGTGGAATCCTGGGGTCTGTAGTTTAGTGAGGCAATAAACAGCAAATCCCAGGATTCCACAAGAAGCAGCCATAGCAGTTAAAGTGGAATAATAGTGCTATAACAATGTACTAAGATACTGAGCTGGCTACCCCTCTGCCTTTATCTAATTGTTCCTTTGTATTCAAATTTGTGCACCACCCAGAGAATTTGGTTATTGTATGATATTTTAAAAAAAATCTAATGAACAAAATTGCAGAGGGGTAATAGCAGTGTTTGGCTGTTGCACAAAATATTTAGCAAGCGGCATGTCAACCCTTACCATATTTCTTATTTGACAGAGTGGGCTCTAATAGATTATGCCACAATATAGTATTTTTTTTTCTCTTGATGTGCCATAAAAATCCTTGTGTTTAAAAAAAAGAGAGAGAATCTGTATTTGGGTACTATGTGTTTCACTTTCATTCCCTAAAGGAAAGAATGGAGTTCATTCCAACGTATAGCACTTCACTTATATGATTTCTCTCTCCCTCTTTCCACCATCTTGAGATAGAAACTATAAATACCACAGGAGTTTTGTAAGAAGTATGGAGAAGCTTTAGTCCGTTTTTTGGACTGCATCTGTGGATATGACCCTGAAGGTGTGAAAGAAGAAAAGTTTTCATGCCAAGTTCCCAGTGCAATTGTTTATATTTACTCAGAAGTAAATCCTATTGAGTTTAGTAGGATTTGCTGCCAAGTAAGTGGATATGGAGCCAATGTGATACAGCGGTTTGTGTTTTGGATTAAGGGTACATCTACACTGTAGAAATAATGCAGTTTGACTCCACTTTAACAGCCAGGCTCCATCCTACAGAATCCTGGGATTTGTAGTTTTGTGAGACACCAGCACTCTGTGGCAGAGAAGGCTAAAGGTCTTATAAAAAAAACCACAAATCCTAGGATTCCATAGGATGGAGATACATCACTTAAAAGTGGTGTCAAAATGCATTATTTCTACAGTGTAGACTCTGGGAGACTAGGATATGAATTCTCACTCTGCCATGGAAACCCACTGCATTACCGTTGGAGAGTCTCACTCTCTAAGCCTTAGAAGGCAATAGTAAACAACCTCTAAACAAATCTTGCAAAGAAAACACTAGGATAGGGTTACCATCGAGTTGGTTTGGACGTGAAGGCACATAACAACAATAATGCTTTCTGAGCCTTATCCCCACTACAACAGGGAGTCAATGTGGTGTAACAGTTATAATAATGAATGAGACCAGGTTTCAAATCTCTGTTTGGACTGGGTGACCTTGGGCAAGTCATATTCTCTCAGCCTCAGAAGAAGGCAAAGTCAAACCTCCTCTGAACAAATGCTGCCAAGATAACCCTATGATAGGGTTGCCCTAAGCCAGAAATGACTTGAAGGCACCCAACAAGTGGATACAGGGCTGAAGCAGAGCATAACATCATGATCACACAAAGACATAGCCATGTTAGTCTGTAGAATCAGTATGTAGAGAGATCTTGTACCACCTTTGAGACTCACTGGAAGAAAGAGTTCAAAGATACAGCCATGCTAGTCGGTAGAATCAGTATACAGAGAGATCTTGTAGCACCTTTGTGGTTCACTGAAAAAAAGAAGTTAGCAGCATGAGCTTTCCTAGACTTAAGTCTACTTCCTCAGATGCATTGCAGAGGCTGACAGCACTCTTTCTTTCAGCGAGGGGCTACAAGATCTCTTTACATCCTGATCATATGCATGTCTATTCAGAAGTAAGCCCCATTCAGTTAAGTGGGTATAGGGTTGCAGTTTCAGGTAAGTGGGCACAGGATTGTAGTCTGAAGGCTGCTTAACTTAACTCTCTGTTCTCCATTTATCCGCAGCTTCTTGGCCAGATCAGCCCTGCGTTTCTCTCCCAAGTGCTGTGAAAAAGCTTCACTTGCTTCTCTGTACACACACACATATATGTATATATACATATATATGTGTATGTGTGTGTGTGTATATATATATATATATATATAT